GTGATAGAACAAACAGATTTTGGGTGGGCGTCCTTGCAGAAGTTACAAATATGTGAAAACAATTACAATTAGAAAAAGTGCATACAGATTCGTTGAAATTATTACACAAAACTTCCCCATTAAAACTGACAGAGAGTGACCATGCTTATCACAAGGAGCACTGAAAGGTTCAGCACCATAAACAGCAGCTGCAGCCGCACTAGTGTAGGCCCAAGGGCAGACAGCAGAGGAGTGGCTATGGGAACTACAAATGGCACAGACCAGAGCACGGTGACTGCTAATGTGACAAACCAGTAATTTCATGTCCGTAACCAACCAGTCCAGTCTAGAATTGTAGAGAGCAATGAACAAGGAAGAAAACAATTTGTGACATTCAATAAACAGCGTAACCTCATATCACTGGCTAAAGTGAGTCATTATGGCCAAGTACGGGTTCAGTTCAAACACACTAACGAACTCCCCAAAGGAGAGATTGGGCTGCAGCCTAGGATCAGACATTTAAAGAAAAAATGAAACATCAATGCAATTCACGATCTGATGGTTGACAGCCAGAGAAGGGAGCAGCAAGGATGCAAAATCAATGTGCTTACTCTGAAGGATATTGGACCGCCTTCAAGGAGACAGGCAAAAAGAACAAAAGGCCTCAGCGCTGCAGGTGGAGAGCATGAGAAACAGGGTGCTTGCAGGAACTTTTCATTGAGTGAGGTGAGGACAACTTCGCTGAACAATTCGACCTTCATGGGCTGAGTGGACACCTTAGAAGTATCAAAAGCAACACAGTCTTCAGAAGGAATGGAAGGACTGCCCAGAGAATTAGCGGCCAGGATGAAAAGATTCTCCACTGCTAATTAGAATGCTAGAATTTTGATCGCTCAAAAGTGCTGAAATCTCCTCGGAAGGCCGAAAAGACCGCGAAAGACTCACAATTGTGGATGTGAGCACTGCAATACATGGAAGCGGGTTGAGATGGTGCAACAAGCTCACCGTCATAAACAGAAACTTGAAGACCAGCAATTTCACTCAGAGACATAGCAGCTATGGGATTCAGAATGATGAAATGACAAAATGGCGAAACGTCAGCATCTGAAAGTAGCAGAACAGGTATGTAAGTCATTTTAAAGACAGGTCAAAGTAATGAATGACTGACAAAGCATTTGAGTCTTCCTCACAGAACTTGCACTAAGATTCCATTTTTGTGATCAAAATGCAAACCTAGAACTTTTCACTTGGACTGAACGTCTTGGCGGTTACATCTTCTTTTTCTCTTTCTCTGTCTTTGTTTGTTGTACTGTATAAAACAGGCCTTTCCCTGGGCAGAGTTAAGGCAGGGGAAAGTGTTTTGTGTTATTTTTTTTTATATCAAATTTTTTGTTTGTCTGCCTCCTCAAATTCACAATAAAATATGTTTACATATAGTCTGATTTCAGAACATGGCATATAGTAAAATAAGCATAGCACAGAGCAAAAGAAATCCTAAGCATGCAGTTTCACATAATGATTATGAATGTTTCAAATGAATATAATCTATAAAGATTTGATGAAAGTACAAACTCTTATACTTGAAATACTACAGTTTCCTGAAAAGTTACCCAAGCCTACTCAATACACATAACTGAAGCAAGAAAGGAGATTTCTTAACAAGCCGAATGTAATCTAAAAGGATTTATGAGGTAATTAACTTTACAACATTTCTAAAACAATGATTAAATAAGAAAAACGTTATCACGTATCAAAGATCAACTCAATAATAATCATGACTAATGAAATTGGTTAGAGTTTAAGAATCATAATACATCATGAATGAAAATAGTTAGCCCAGTCCATTACACCATCATCAGCTGTATTTTCAATTCTATATTCCAGGGGTGCTCAATCCTGGTCCTGGAGATCTACCACCCTAGAGATTTCAGATCCAACACACCTGGCTGTAATGTTCAGAAGCCTCAGAAGGCCTTCATTACCTGGATCAGGAGTGTTAGATTGGGGTTGGAGCTAATCTCTGCATGGTGGTAGATCGCCAGGACCAAGATTGGGCACCCCTGCTCTACATATACCTCAACAATAAACTCTCCAATATAACCAACAATATAGCCAATATAATCAACAATATACCTCTCCAACATGTTTATTTTCTTAAAGGTTTTCACAAATCATTATTGGTTTAATTCATGCCAGAGGTGTGCTTGGGTAATCAAATACTCCAACTGTTCCTAGTGCCAGTTTTCAAATATTGGCCTGTCTGCACAGACCTCATGCACTGACCTTTGTACAGCACATGGAGTGTAATGTGGTGAGTATTCCCACAAAAGGGTTGGTCTCAAAGACTTTTCTATTGCCTGTCACCGTGTACTGCCAGAACTCTTATTCTGTCGTGTCAGCCCTGATTGACTCCGGAACTGAGGGAAATATCATCCATGCTTGGGTAACCCATGAGCTCCAGATCCTCTGACATCTGCCCTTAGAGTTGCTGCCTTATGCTAACCATACACTAGAAGACTTTGAAAAGACTTTTGAAAGACTAAAGTCTGACACCCTCTCACATCTAAAGACAGTGTCGCATTTTTTAGTCACAGAATATGATTGTGCAAAGACTGGGAATCTTGCAGTGTCACTATTTACAAGACTGCAACTAGATTTTTGAGATTATTCCCCATCATGCACCTGGTGGGAATTTACAAGCAGATAAACACTTTTCCTTCCACTCAATAGTGATACAGATGGGAAGATACGCTGGCTGGGTGTGTAAAGATCTGGGGCTCAGATTAGTTCACTATAGAACTGTATACTCTGGCAGATCATCACCCAGAATATTTTTAATTAACCTGTAAAATGTGCTGCTACTTTTTTTAATTTGATATAGAGATTTACACATCAACACATCATGCAGCGATTCAGCACTGTCGATTGGGTGTTATGAACCAAACCATAAGAAACAAACAAAATAAGAAACCAGTGTAACAGAAAACAGAAAATAACAGAAAAAAAACATTGATGATTCTGTCCTCTGCACATTTCCTCACATGTTACAGGCTCAGTGAACCTGAAATATTAAAACTGTCAGTTTACATCTTAAGTTAATATGATTATTGTATTGAATTGCCATTTTTTACAGAGTTCAGGCAGTCACGCCTGCATTCTCTCTCTCTCTCTGTCTGTCTCTCTCTCTCTCTCTGTCTCTCTCTGTCTCTCTCTCTCTCTCTCTCTCTCTCTCTCTCTCTGTCTCTCTATGTGCCTGCCCTCGCCCGCAAGCACTCACACGCGCCCCTGGCACGTCACTATTTGCATGAGCCAAGATTTAAAACTTACGATAATATTTAACACGGTTGATTTTGACGCAGCGTCAAGACGAGAAAAAGACTGACTTAAGACCTCCATCTTGACCACCTTATACCAAACGATCGAGATGACGCTAGCGCGACAAGACTCTCGTGATTTTATTCCGACATGGATATTTATCTGCAACAGTGAAATCGCTTGAAAAGTCGTTTGGTGTAAGGCCGGCATTAGATGGAGGACCTGTGGGATTAGGATCGAGCACACACATCACTCAGCCTATTAAGCAACCTACAAGTGCACTACATACTGAACTCCTTACTCAAATTTGAGTTTTCTGTAATATTGGGATTGCCATTGCAAGAAAATCAAAATACCCTAAATTCTTGGTCCAATACCTTCATTTTCCTGGTCATCTCATTGTCTAGAACATTTTTTACATTAAGTAACATCCCTCGCTGTTCAGTCCACTTCCATAGAAAGCCCAGAAACTGAGAAGAAAGTTCATATCCCCACAGAATATTCTGATCTCCATGGGGTAGTCAATAAGAATGCCACCAAGCTTCCCCCTCATTGCCTCAGTAATTGTGCTATAGATCTGAGAGAAAGGTCCACTCTTCCCAAATTCCGAGTGTATCCCCTTATCCAAGAGGAAGAATGAACCATGGAGTACATCCAAGAGGGACTGGCTCAGGGTTTTATTTGTTCCTCCACTTCCCCAGCAGCTTCAGGCTTTTTCTTTGTCAAAAAGAAAGTTGGGGGACCACCTTTGTATAGATTCTTAGGCTCTCAATCAAATCACTAAAAATACCTCAACCATTACCACTCAACCCTGTAGCATTGGAACAGCTAAGGGAGTCATACTTTTCACAAACTTAGACCCCAGAAGTGCTTACAAATTGGTTAGAATTAGAGATGGTTATGAGTGGAAAACAGCCTTTGTCACTGGCACAGGCACTACAAATGTTTAGCAATGCCATTTGTGCTCTCTAACGCCCCCTCTGTCTTTCAAACATTCGTGAATGATATCTTTCAAGATATGATTGATCAGTTTGTCTTTGCCTATACACCTGACATCCTAATTTATCCCACTGACCTCTCAAAACATGTTCAACCATTCAACATCTGTTAGAGGATATCAGTTGTATGTCAAAGGTGAAAAATATGAATTTCATAAACAGGCCAACATATTTTATTTATGGGCTATATTATTAGAACTAATGGTATTGTAATGGATGATCACAAGGTAGAGATGCAGTGTGTGTGTGTGTGTGTGTGTGTGTGTGTGTACGCAATAGAAATTAAAGTAGTTTCAAACTTGCAGCTTACTATATTTAACTGCTCCAATATCTTAAACCAAACATTGTTTGCAATATTGTTGTTCTCAGCATGACAGCATGACAGCATGACATGTTCCATTCGGTTAGAGATTCTCTATTTTTAGATAAGAAATTATTTGAAAATGTAAAAATGTGGACTATTGACTTATGTGGAAATATGGAAATGAATTTATTGGAAGGTATATGGAAATATTTTCCATATAATTCATGAACATCACGTTGTCATCCACAAATTACACAGAAAAGCCCAGGAGAAAATGGAACACACCATGCTAGCAAGAAATGGATCTTCAAAACCACAAAATTTGTATTATGGAAATATATGTAAACTAATGACAAAAGATTTAACTTAGATCTTCTGCATCCTCAGAAGGCACATTTCTTACCTGTTGGTCTGCAGACAAGAACATCTCCACAGAAGGTTATTAAAATGAACAGGAAAAAAATAGGATTTTTAAGATGTGAGTACTTTTTTCAACGTATAGCCAAATAGAACAGTAAAAGTATAATGAGATATTTTAGATATTTGGGGTAGCTGTAAAGTTTTATTCAAAGGTATTTTGTGCATTTAACATTTACTGATACTTGCTCGTATAGCATGACAGACACTGTGTTACTTAGCTAAGGCTATATTTAGCACATTTGGCCAATAAGAATGTGTTATCTTCTTTAAATATTCAGTCAATAGTCTGATGTGTCAAAGTATGGCAGTATTTTATTGTGTTCAAGCAGATATATGTTTATAATGAGAGCAATAAAATGTAAGGGAATTAGAAAATAATCAACACAAAGAAAGATTTATTTGATTTAGAGTGGTGATGTATATGTGGTAGCACTTTACTAATTGGTAATAACTTGGTAATGATACAATAATATTACAGTAACAAGTTGTACAGGTCTAAAATTAATGCTAATTTTCTAATTGTAAAGAAACAGTAAGGCAGTTTTTTAATCATTCTAGGATTTCTTAACATTACAGTTATTTACCCCAAAACAATTCTGCAGAAATGGTATATTAGTATGTAAGTGTAGTTATTCAGGAGTAGATGAGATAAATATACTGAGATTACAAAACAGGCTGAAAAATATATCATTTTTTGTGTTACCTGTTAAAAAATACAGTTACTCTATTATACAGCACAAATCAGACAAAAGACTTTGCTTAATAGAAATTTGTTTTATCTTTATACAACATGTTCATGTTTCTTTTCCTTAACCTATCTTATTATTTTTTAACAAACATACACCTACAACATAAACATACAACATAAAACCTATCTTATTATTTAACAAACAAAAAATAGCTTGTAATTTTAGGTTGGTACAACTTTTAGTATTATTTCACATTTTATTACTTATTTGTTATAGCTACAATTGCTAATTTATTATTAAATAACAACTTCAAAATTAGCATGTAATGTTTAGGTTAACACAACTTGTTACCTTAATATTACCATATAATTAGTTCTTATTACTGACCTTTAAAATGCTACCAAATATGCAGCAGTGATTTTGGACCAGCTGTACCAGAAAAACTTGTAATCTTTTGTGCATTATGTAAATATTGTGAGTGCTTGTTTAGACCAGTGCATTTTTAGCTTTTTCTCCTGTTATTTAGATGAACATATTTACTATTAATGTTTGGGACAGTTTGTTACCAGTGTAACTTCTCTTCTTAGTCTTTGTGACATGCTAGGATCTCTGTTCTACATGTACTCTCTTCTATAAGGACAACAGTCATCACAAATGACTTACAGTAGTGATTTAAGCAATGAGGCTCCTTAGTGTGAAACTCTTACGACACAGCTCATTTAGAGATGTAGTCAAAGGATACACTGCTTGTTTTTTAGCAAAATTAATGGACCATAAAGTGCAAATTTTTACCAATCAAACAACTCCTTGAATAATGGTATTTTTTCTACTTTTTAAAACAGCATATGTAATAGCAATTCATAGTTTAGTAAAGAGTATTTTCTTTCACTCTTATTTAGATTTTTTACATTTCAGTTGTTTTCATTACATGTGAATGTAATGAATTATAAATAAAAAATGATTCACCAACTTGCATTCTCTAAACCTCAGCCAGAAACACGGTTCATAACTAAGATTAGAATGTTGAATTCTCACTGAATATACATCACACACACACACACACACACACACACACACACGCACACTCACAGACACACACACACACACCTATGGGACAGTATATCCTTGGAATTTTCCTTATTCCATCTTCATACAGAGTTGTACAGAGCTAAACAAGATGGGCAATTACTTTGTTTTTTTAGTACTTTAAGAATTTCAGCATTCCGAATTTAAGAGTACTTTAACAATTTTTAAATTCTTTAGTAATTGGTACAGTGTGTCCCCCTTTTGCTTTAGTGGCAGCATGCATTTGAGCAGGACTCCACAAGTTTGTGCAGAAGCCTCTGATGAGTAAATCAAATACACCAGAGAGTCCCCTGACCATTAGAAATGAATGAAAAAGGTCAATTTCACAAATTTCTTTAAATTTACAAAATGACCTGTAAGTTTTTAAGATTCTAAAACTTTTGTTGTTTATTTGAAGGTTTAAATGAAAAAAAAAAAAAAAAAAACAGATTTTCAATATGGTATCATAATTTTGGACCGTATCAAATCAAGTCAGGTCACAGTTTATTCATTAAGCACTTTTTACAACAATCATTGTCGCAAAGTAGCTTTACAGAAATATCCAGGTCAGAGCCTCCGTGAGCAAGAAAGCAGCAACAGTGGGAAGGGAAAATTCCCACAGAACAAGAACACTTCAACTTAACAATTACATACATATACAATTGTATACATGACTTAACAATTATATACATATGCAACATTTTACTTTTAAACACATGGAACAATCCAGATGTCAGGCATGGTTTTCAGTGTTAAACAGCAGAGCTGGGCCTGGAATTCCTCAGCATATGACTGATACTTAATTTTTCTTGTATGCTTGTATGCTGTATTCTGTTGTTTAATATGTTGTGGGGGGTAAATATATCCTGTTTCATTCCTTTGGGTTGTCAATTCCTGCAAGTTGTGCTTAATTGTAATGGTCTTTGTGTGAGAATTGTCCATCGTGGATTCTGCATTTAAATGCAACTGCAGTGATTTGAGACTTTAAATTTCAAATTTCTCCAAATACATAATCAAAATGTTGCATATCGTAATGAATAACTGATTTTTGCCATTTAATGTTTTATTATATTTTATGTCTACTACTTCTGTGAATATTTTACAGAGAAGAAATGCATTTCTTCGGTGTGTCTTGTCTTTTTCAGATTAAATCACAAAGTTTTATAGACAGATTTATAGTAGATCAGCTAATTCTTCTATGTTGGATTCTTTGAAATGAGGAAGCAACTTTTTTTACACTATTACCTTTTTAATAGGATTGCTGCACTATTATCTAATGATTATGTTAAAGGAAAATGTTTTTGTTTCAAAAAATTTTTAATAAATATTATTTATAAATAACTCTGATTTCAAAAGAGGGTAATTAATACATTTTAGTATGCCATACACTGCATAGTGACAAAGATGAAATCATTTCAAATGCTTACTTAAACCACATAGCTAAGCATCTGTGAACACTTCAGGATGACAGATGGAGTCAGTTTCATGGGACAGTTATAATTTGTACTGTGAATATCCAGTAAACTGCAACCTCCACAGCTGCATGTGTGAGCATTTATTATTTTTTATCTTTCCAACAGGGGTCACTGTGTTCCTACTAACTACAACCACAAACAGCAGTGCTGAAAATTTAAGTAAGTAAAGACTAAAGCCATTGAGTTCCTACCTACTGCCTACTTACTAAAGACTTTTGGTGAACTGTGAAATGTACAGATAAATTGCATAAAACACAACCAAGTCTATATTTGTAATGAATTAGGGGTTAATAGCATCCTCCTCCTCAAGTTGTAAACACTCGGTTTGCTGATTAAAATCAGTTAAAAAGACTTGAAGAATAGAAACAGATTAACCTGTTCACATTTGAACAGCATGAATCTGGTGCTGGTTGACTCTACAGGCAGTGAGTGTTCTATAGGATACATTACTTTCATCTTTTAGCCTTTTATCAGCTTTTAGCGTGTTAGGTGAATTACAGAAAGAGGACAGCAGTAAAAAAAACAAAAAAAAAACACGAATAACAAGGTAGCATCAAGAAATGAAGGAAAAAGCATTTGAGAAGGGATGCATTTTAATGCTCTGAAATTTATGTCAGCAGGTGGGCAGTGAGAAACACTGATTTTTTTTATATGTTAATTGCCATGGTTGACTATTTACCTTAAAGTGACATTTAAGGTAAATTTTTTGCAATCACAGATTATGTTGATAATAGTTTTGGTTAATTAGCCACATATCCAGCATTTCTGCCCAAATTTACATGCACTCCTACCAGATATGAGTTAGTTTGTACAGATATGCCAAAGATGGAAGTGATGAATAACAAAACCATCTGTGAATTTGTATGCACTCATCTTACGGTCAGATGTGACCATAAGCATCTTTAATGAACAAGAACCAAAGTGAGAAAAGTGAAGCAACTGAATATATGGAGGTGATGGAAAGTTAATTAACAGATAATTAGCAGGATTAACACATAGGTGCTAGTAAGTTATCACGTTACTTCTTTATATGAAGAAAAATACTTATTAGTTAATTAACAATGTAATAAGCAGCAGTTAGTACACAGATAATGAGTAAGTAAGCCATAAACTAACGACAAACTTATCAACTAACAGTGTACTTAATTACTAATTGATGAGTGCTTAAACAGTTACTAAGTAACAGCTAATGCTTGATGAAGAGTTAACTAATAACTAAATAATGGGAAATTAATAGTTGATTATTATATAATTAATGATTGATTGGCGACCCTTAATGTAAAGTGTTACCCATGTTTTTTTACTTTATAGTACTGCTCCAGATCATCATTAACTGCTAGTTCATTAACGATGAGTTGCCATGTGTTTCACTCTAGTGCAGCGTCTAGACAGTCTGTGTTATGCACACTACATGAAAAGCTAGTGCAGGGGTCAGCAACCCAAATGTTAGTGAGTCATTTTGTCCATTCAACAAAAATCAAACCATCTCAGGAGCTAAAACATTTTGAGTCCATTTTACCATCTTTGCTGTACCTATGTTTCAGTATGTGCTAATGTCCTAGTGTAGGCTAAAAATATGACACAAACAAAAACTCTTCACCTTGTTCTTCTTTAAGCTTTAGCTCAGCTGTAGCCACTTTGCTTGTGTCACCAGCAGGAAACTTTTCCACAAAAGTAAAACACACACACACACACACACACACGCACACATCTTCTAAGCCGCTTCTCCTTCTTGGTCGCGGGGGGTGCTGGAGCCTATCCCAGCTGTCACTGGGCGGAAGGCAGGATAACAAAAAATAAAACATTTTCTTCTAAAATTTCTCTCAACGTTCTACTTTTTACAAGGCTGAAGTCAGCTTCTCATTCGCCAGCTTCTTGAATTTTCCCTTTCCACCAGAAATGTAACTGCTGCTCCATTTAAGGTGGAATGAAAGAATTCAAACAAGAAGCTGACTTCAGCTTAATGTTTTTTTTTTAGGGTTTGAGTTTCTCGTTGCAGATTAAACATATCAGGAAAACAGCTGTAGAGTACGGAGCCCCGGAGTGGACGGAGGTAAAAAAAAAAAAATTATTCGAGCAAACGTTTTGCAGTTCGTACGCATGTTTTCCTTTATTCGTGGTCACGATTTCTTAAATCGTTCCCTCGTCTTCTTTTAAAAGTGCACACGTTTTCTTTACTTCGTGGGTACGTTTTTGTTTATTCGTGATCACGATTTTCTAATTCGTTCTCTCGTTTTCTTTTAATCGTTGTCATGCTTTATTTTTAATTGAATACACATTGTTTATTTTTTTGATTTGTGCGCAAAATCAATGTTGTAGATACTGGTCATGTTTTTGTCCATTGCAGAAGTAAATAACAGCTCCCTGAGACTGTCTCACGGGTTTTGATGAGTTAGATTGATGAGATGATGGTCAGAGATGCTCATCAGGTCTGATTTTGATTTGGGGCATTATGAGGAAACTGCAGCTCCTCTTCACAGCAAACGGCCCTCAGATTCATCAGTGCAGCTGCAGTTTTGTGATGAAATGAAGGAAGACAATAAACTACAATCACAATCTTCACTAAACTGCACTTTCTAATGATCATATTTAACAGAGATATAGATGCTTAGCGCTGTTTCTGCTCCCGCAACAAGCTGCAGTGTTAGAGATCTTCACACAATTACAGGAAGAAATGGTCAGCGTCAACAAACTCAAATTAAACACACACAGAAACATTAATGTGGATTAAGGTCAAAAGAAAAGGTTAAAAGAAAATGAGGGAACGATTTAAGAAATCGTGACCACGAATAAGAGAAAACATGCGTACGAACTACAAAACGTTCGCTCGAATTATACCTCCGTCCCCTCCGGGGCTCCGTAGTAGTGCTTATAAATGCAAATAAGTCTATTTGTTTCCAAATTATCGATGTTTGTCTAAAATCTTTGTCTTTGCCTTGTTGTTAGCTACTAGGTAGATGAACTAGCAGTTATAAGCTACATTAATTCCAGCATTTAAGACCATTTATTGTTAAGCTGTGTTGAACGATCAGCAGAGTTTTATTTTGCTGCAAATGAGGATTATTTTATTATTACCTACAAATCTAATTCTGATGTGGAGCCACAACAGGACAGTAAAAGAGACACAGGTTGCCAACCCCTGAGCTAACGAATGGAAGCACTTTGGCTTCTAGGAAGTTGAAGGGAAAAGGACCTGGACAAGATCCACACTATATGCAAGTTTTGTCACACTAAACTATGTATTTACATTTGTTCTCAGTTGTTGAGAACCAGAGCTTTTGCACTATGTTGCACACTTTGGAGATATAATGTCCCGTCTCAAAGATATTTTACTGTCACAGTGACACCCACTCTTTACAATAAGACCAAACCTGAAGTGATGGAATCACTGAAGAAAATGGAAAGGATAGCTGTAACGTATTGCACGGACATTCATAGCCACAGGATCTTATGTCACCGTAATAGGGCATTTTATCACAGATGAATGATGGCTAGCTTCTCATATGCTCCAAACAAGAGCAGTGAATGAGAATGAGAGTCCTTCAGTTGAACGTTGTTTCCATTTGATTTATTAATAAAGGATAGGTGGTTGCATGGTATTCCAGGTGGGTACTAAGAGGTGGAAAGGTGGCTCTATTGTTTTCCATGTGGTTGCTAGGGTGTTGCTAGGTGGTTGCTATGGTGTTCCAAATGTTTGCTAAGATGTTGCTAGGTGGTTGCTACAGTATCCTGATTGGTTGCTATGGTGTTGCTAGGTGGGTGTTGGGTTATTGCCAGGCAGTTGCTATGGTGTTCTGGGTGGTTGCTATGTTATCATTGGTGGTTGCTAAAGTGTTGCTCTGTTATCCAAGGTACTTGCTACATTCTTTGCTAGGTGGTTGCTAGGTGGTTGCTGTGGTATCCCCTGAGGGTAATACAATGTTACTACTGCACTTGTCTCACAAATTTGCACATTCATTCCTAAGGGAAAAAGTCATTTAATGATTATTGTATGAAAACCATTACCCATGTCCATTGCTATGGTAGATTTCGTGGTTGCTGGTTGCTAAGGTGTTGCTAAGTAGTTGATGGGTGTTGCTAGGTGGTTGTTTTGATGTTCAAGGTGGTTGCTATGGTGTTGCTAGGTCGTTGCTATGGTATCACTGGTGGTTGTTTGCATGTTGCTAGGTGTTTGCTATGACAGAAAAATAAGAAAAAGAAGTGCCAAAATAATAATAAGAATATAAATAGCGTAACTATTTATTCAATTTGCTTTTAGATAAAAATGAACACGGTTTGAAACAAAGACAATCAGCTACAGTTAGTTTGTGTCTGAAATTGATTGGCAATGAACATATTGATCTCTGTGGACTGTTATGACCACTATAAGCAGTTAAGGGACTCCTGACAAATTATAGGAATATAGCCACAAGCAGTGATCACTGGGGTCCAAGCATGATGTGCCAATTTGGAGACATGTGGACATGTGTAGGCCTTTCAGCAGACAGAACACAAATGATGGGCAGATGGAGTGTCTATCTTTCACAGATAATTCTAATCTGCAAAATTTTGTGCAGATTTTGTGACCTCCTGCCTTTGGTTAGCAACAATTGTCTGAGAAGCAGTACAATTTCAGATAAATTGTATTTTCATACATTTTAGGAGAGTATTGTTCTCATGTTAAGATCATTATTATTATTTTTCTTCTGTGGGATTTTCATACCCCCTTACAGTGGAGTGGCGAACTTGTCACTTTTTTGACGCATGAGCTTGATGTCTGACTGACGTTTTGAAAGAACATAATGACCAAAGCATTGATGGGATGTGCAGACTGTGTGTAGTCAGGGAAGACAGGGAATGACAAAATATTGCAGAAATATTCAGATGTAGTTCAGTGGTTTAAAGCTTTTCACTACTGCATCATACTTGGAGAGAACGCAAAACTAGTCATACATGGTTCTCACAGAGTGTCTGTAACTCTCCATGAATTGCAGGAATAGGCGTAATGCAGAAAACTGAGAAGCCCATCAGTTGAGTTACTCACACAAAAGTCACAGAAGACTGAGAAATGAGATAAGTTACACAACTCATTGTGTTTGCATGGACAAAAATCTCAGTGCTAACATCAAAAGGGAGAAATATCAAATATCAAAAAGGGAATAGCTAGTTAAAAGCTGGAG